TCAGGAATGGACACCTGCACTTTGCGAGAAACGAAATGATGCAGCTGCTAGATGAAAACGTGAAGAAATGAAAACACAATGAAACCATAGTACCATTGTAATAACGGAAAATAAAGGTTTACGCATAGCAGTGGAAATCTGAAGTAGAGGTGTTCAAGACACTAGAATACACTTCCCCACTTCTTGCTTCCTTTGTTTTAACATAATGAGAATAATGAGACGAACAAATGATTTCAGAGAATGAGCGACAACGACGATACGATTGTCATCGACGTCAAGAAATTCTTCTCATCCGCAAGAATAATGTAAGCAATACGCTACAGCACCGCATCCACAACTAATTCCTGAATTACAGGTATGGAAATGTCACGATCTTTAAAAGTGAACTGCTGAAGTTCGTGGCAGACGGTGAAGGAGATTGGATGAAAAGAATGGAAAAACGTCTACTTGTCCTCGAAGGTAGAGGCGGAAATCCCGACCGTGATTCGTCCGAAGATGAGCCTGAGCCAAAAAAGACAAGGAGAAAGACGAAGGAGGAGGAATAAATGCTAATATCTCTGTGTCTGTGTATATTGATATTTGGTTCAGTGCTAACAATTTTCCACTATAATAGTGGATGAATAAAGGTTTATGCGTGATTACGAAGATCTGAAATGAAAGTGTGTAAGACACTTGAATACATTTCTCTCTTTTTCTCTTTCCTTTCTTTTCTTTTTCTTTTCTTCTTTTCTTTTCTTTCTTTTTTCTTCTTTTCTTTCTTTTCTTTCTTCTTTTCTTTTTCTTTCTTTTCCTCTTTCCTTCTCTTTCTTTCTTTCTTTCTTTTCTTTTCTTCTTTTCTTTCTTTCTTTCTTTCTTTTCTCTTTCTTTCTTTCTCTTCTTTCTTTTCTCCTCTTTTTCTTTTCTTCTTCCTTTTTCTCTCTTCTTTTCTTTCTTCCTTCTTTTCTTTTTCTTTTCTTTCTTTTTCTTTTTCTTCTTTTTCTTCTTTTCTTTTCTTCTTTTTCTTTCTTTTTCTTCTTTTCTTTCTTCTTCTTTCTCTTTCTTTCTTTTTTCTTTCTTTTCTTTTCTTTTCTTTCTTTCTTTTCTTTTCTTTCTTTCTTTTCTTTTCCTTTCTTTTTCTTTTCTTTCTTTTCTTTTCTTTTCCTTTTCTTTCTTTTCTCTCTCTTTCTTTCTTTTCTTTCTTTTCCTTTCTTTTCTTTTCTTTTCTTTTCCTTTCTTTTCTTTCTTTCTTCTTTTCTTTTCTTTTCTTTTTCTTTTCTTTTCTTTTCTTTTCTTTTCTTTTCTTTCTTTTTCTTTCTTTCTTTCTTTTTCTTTCTTTTTTCTTTTCTTTTCTTTTTTTTCTTTTCTTTTTCTTTTCTTTCTTTTCTTTCTTTTCTTTCTTTTCTTCTTTTCTCTTTCTTTTTTTTTCTTTTTTTTTCTCTTTCTTTCTTTTTCCTTTCTTTTCTTTTCCTTTCTTCTTCTTCTTCCTCGAACTAGTGCGAGCAGCAGGTCGCCAGATGCCCTGACAAAGCACTAAGGCAGCAACAGAGGGGGTATGAGGCACGCTCCATGTTGGCTTGTTCGACATGGACACGCTGTAACCACAAGATCAGATTGTTGGGCTGGTCTATACAGCACAGCTAACGAAGCACCTAACTAAGGTGTACTCCATGGAAAACTGTGAAACAGATCCCTCTGGAGGTCTGTGTCCTGAAAAGGTTCAATGTACTAGACATTGCCGAACATGCAGCCAAACAACAAGCCCCAGGATAAACCATGGGAGGGTTAACTTTCAAGGTCGAATGAACTACCTATAGCGGTAGGTTAGTATCCTAAAATGGACGGCCGAAGAAGTAACCTAGAGAACTCTGCCATTGCCGGTCCCAAGCCCGGATGAGAAAAGAGGAGGGTTGAGCACAAGGTTGGCGACCTGCGTTCGTAAAAACACCAATAGCTAGTACAAATAGAACCAATAACAATGAGACTAATGCTACAGCGTCCGTGGGAACCGACGCGCGTTCACAAGGCCCGGTGAACGTGACAAGTATGCGAGGGTCCCCGGCGCAGAGGCGGCGCCGGGGGGAAACCAGGCTAGCCCAAGAGCACTTGCACTCTCTAAGGCAAACCCAGAATGAAACGCTCATGACTGAACCGGACTATAAAGAGCAAAACGCTCTAAGCCAACACAGAACAGCTTCAGCATGGACGGAAACGGAAAAGCAAAAACTGGCCAGCATGGTTGAGCACCACAGAATGGCCAACGGCAACGTTCACTGGGCTGCCCTAGAGACATCTTGGGCAGCAACCTGTGGACGAGAAGAGCCAAGCAGAACAGCGTCTGCACTAAAGACTGCATACGCAAAATTCAGGATCCCCTCACTGCGCGAAGGGACCAGACAGGAAGTAGAAATAAATGTAGAAGCCCATAATGGGAAAGGCTACTGGGCACAAAGCGAACTAGATAAACTAGAAAGGATCACCCAACGATACAAAGCCCTAGGAAACGGCCGAATCAATTGGAGTGATCTTCATACAGAATGGGAATCATCCCGACCAGCGAGTCACCCACAAAGAACGATAGAAGCTCTCAAATGCGCTCACGCAAGAATCTCAAAGCAAAGGTCAAGTCAAATATCAGGCCACACTGCATCACAAACACTCGACCTAGAGCGAGTGGGAAACTCGCAGAACTCACAACAAAGCGGAGAGATCCCAGAGGAGAACGGCTCGCCAAGCCCCTCAATTTCATACACAAAGAGAATCTCATGTTCATGAAACGAGAGACGAAATAACTCAGCCTCTAATAGAGGAGCAAGAAGAACCCCCAGGAGAATCATCAGCAGTAGTGGATCCCCGAAGTCCGGCTGAGTGCTCCGATGATAGGGGCGCCTCAGTAGCGCAGAGCATAAGCGAAGAAAGTGAAGCGTCTACGACCCAAACAGGCAGCCAAAATAGCGAAAATGAAGGAGATGAATCAAGAAGAAGACGTCGGAAAGGAACGTCATGGGAGACCCCTGAGGTTGACAGACTAAGAAACTTAGTTGAAACGCACAGGGACACAAGTGGATCCATTAATTGGGATGCCCTGAAGCACGCCTGGGAGCAAACAAGGCAACCAAATGAACCAATGAGGACCACTAACGCCCTGAAATCCGCCTACGCAAAACTGACGCGACCAATGCAACGCAGGCGTGGTATCTCCGACAACGAACAAGATGAACCTAGCCTGGCAGACAGGCACAACGATCAAAGAGGAAACGAACCGGTGGAAACGGAAACAACGAGCGAAGCTCAACTATACACTAATATGAAAGAACGTTTCAACCGCGTCTATCAAATAGCGATACGATCCCATGATAGACAACCGATCAAGAGACCGACCGGAGAAATACCAAGCAACCTGCTGCTGCTCGGCAATCAGATACTCAGAGAGAAACTGAATAGCAGAAACTCAACAAACAAGCGCACATTAACAGCGCTAAACGCTGCGGTTTACGCCATAGCAAAAGTAATCTCGATGCTTGCATCAGAAGAAGAGGCGGAAAAAGCGGGAAAAATCCATCAAAACTTAAGAGAATACAAAGAAATAAGGAATTATCTCCTGAAATTAATCTCCTTCACTCTCACACGAACTCAAGAGAAGAACAGAGAACAGAGGAGCCCCCAGCAAGCAATTTCTGGAAATTGCCAGATTGAAGAAAGTGTCCTCGACCACCGAAGTCCAGAGACTCTTGTCAAGATATAAAGATGAGCTGAACATAATGCAATCAAAAATTGCAGCATTGGAGAACTCTCTTAAACTTAAACGAATACGGCAACGTGGGTACCCCGCGGTAGCGAGAGAACCGCGAGAAAGAGAATGCAATGTGCCAGTAGCAGAAGTGCGAGAACATTGGAAACATATAATAGGAGAGTCTCAAATATTCAGTCTATCAGATGACTTACGAGTATGGGCTGCTACGAAACCTAGAGAACGAACTGGAAATATAATAGAGCCTTCCGACGAAATGTGGGCAGGCATATTTGCTAAAATAAAGCCCTGGAAAGCGACAGGCCCAGATGGAATTCAAGGTTTCTGGTGGAAAAAGCTCCCAGAGGCTAAAGAAAAACTAATACAGTGGTGCAAACATGCGCTGCACAGGCCCCACAAGATCATACCGAATTGGCTCTGCCGAGGAAGGATAGTCCTTATACCAAAAGGAGGTTCACAAAACCGAGGACCTGGAGACTTCCGCCCAATAGCATGCCTAAACACATGCTATAAAATATTAACGGCCATGATCGCCGAGCAAATACTCCAATCCTGCAGGTGAAGTGCTCCCTCCAGAACAAGTAGCCCTGAAAAAAGGCATATGGGGATGCACGCATGCACACACAATAGACCAGACAATATGCAAAGACGCCCTCCGGCGAACAAAACCACTACACATGCTGTGGGTCGACATGACCAAAGCATTTGACACCGTCTCCCATGGTGCTATTAAATGGATCCTAGCCAGGGCAGGTATATCTTCGCCCATTCGAAGACTCCTATCGGTAATAATGTCAAAACAAAGTGTACGATACTGTGGTAATCAAAACGGTAAAATGGTCA